CCAGTGTGGAATGACTTCACTGGGGGAAGTCATTCCACAGTTTAGGACCCTTGATGTACAGTGCATTTCTACTTTCATTCTCACGTGGTGCTCCGTTACAGTCGTCAAGGAACCGCTTAAGGTCGGGATTAGCTGTTTTATTTAGTGAAGAGCACACTTGAGAGTGTGTGCACAGACTTGATATTTAACATATTCAAAGATTTTAGTAAGGGTGCTGTCTAGGGCTGGAGTTTGTTATTGTTCTAATTGCTGATTTATGTTGAGTAATTAGTGGTAGAAGGGAAGGGAATTATAAGGAGAAAGCACGACTATATGCTTGGAACCATTACGACTATATAGCACTTGGAAGGGATCAGGATAAGAATTTTGGGATGGGACGGAGGAAAGGAATGGAGGCAATTTTGGGTTGTAGAATCGCCCGCACAGATACCATGGGTGAGATATGGATAGATAAGCGAATAATCCTGGGTTACTAGACCAGGGGGGAGGTACGTGGTATCTCGCTCTGAAGAGAATGCCTACTTTTATTAAACACTTTTTGGTATATTTTGTATATGTCAATGTAAATTCAGTTTGTAATCAATGTGAACACGAAGGAACATCTACTCTGTTCTGAATTTGGATATTGTTTATTCTTAAGTTAATTTTATTAGACTTGTTAGCAAACACTATGTACAACGTTTTATCAATGTTTAGGGTGAGTTGGTTAGCAGTCAGCCGCAGATGGACTTCTTTTGTCTCGGTATTCACCGTGTAATTTATAAGTGGGTTAGTATAGGAGAAAATGAAGGTTGTGTCATTAGCAAATAGAACTGGCTTTAAGTGTTGAGTGGCATCAGCAAGATCATTGGTGTATATGAGAAAGAGGAAGGACCAAGTATTGAAACCGAAGTTCTACTGAACTTACTGGATCCCGTAGCCTCTCCGAGGCACAAACCAGGGTTTTTACACAACCTCCCCCCCCCCCCCCCCACTGCACCCGAGCTATGCCAATAGGCCGTTCTCAATAGGGCGAAGAGGGAGAACGGCCTATTGACATAGCTCGGGTGCAGGGGGGGGGGTGTAAAAAAGGACCAAGTATACTAGCCTGCGGAACGCCAGTGTTAATTGGGAGACGTGGCAGCTTCCACTTCAACAAACTGCTGCCTGTCGCTGAGGTAACATTGCAACTACTGAAGGAAGTGACGTCTAATTTCTAAGTGTTGCAGTTTGAGAAGGTTATTGTGGTATATCAAGACCTGCATGTATCAAGTCAAGCATATTAAGGAGAGTGATATATTATATTTAGTTAAGTAGGAGTTAAGATGTTTGTACATTTGTGTTTTGTAAATATTTTGAACAAGGTAGGCACGATTTATATTGATCTAAAATGGATAATTTCAGTAAAATCATCACTTTTATGGACTGGGATTACTGTAATCTTAATTATTAGTTATTTTTTAAGAAAATCAAGAAAGGTTCGAAGCGCAAGTGATTTGTTGTAGAGCAATGCCTTGGCCGGGGATATTAACCTTGAAGCTTTTTAATACATTAGGGGTTGGTATATCAGCGAGTGTACTTCATTTAGTTATAAGAGAGATGTCATTCACATCTGAGGAATTAGTTGAGGGGTTGTGATCCCTCCCGTCAACCACCTGAGAGATGGTGAACACTTGAGCGGTTATATTACATAGTATGAATAATATAATATAAGTTGCATGTGGGAGATGGGCTGCTTGGGGGGGGGGAGGTGGGTTGTTGTGACCTAAAAGATATATATTTAGCGAGAGAATTACTAAGTCTTTCCAATATATGAGTAGAGTGAATGACCAGTGGTTCAGCTGTGTGGAGGCAGCGTTGGTCAAAGGGATTAACAGAGGTCTTGGAAGTGTGATATCACGCCAGGCTGGCAGTTGACCTCTGACAGGTGGACCGCGTCAGGTCAAGACCGTTGTCAGGGCAGGGCAGGCAGTGACCCATGCAGTATTCACGTGACATTAGGCTGGAGATTAAGGAGTTGCTATGTTTGAGAATGTCACGAGGGGGACGTGTGTGGTCACTCGGAGCAATCGAAGCAGAGCTTTGGTACGCCCTAATCACAGCCTCGGAGCCGTCACATCCAGGACCTCGGGTTTAGGCACAAGTCCTCAGTGGGGAGGACAGGGCCCCACAGCCGAGATAGGTCAGCTCATTCGACGGTGTAAATCGAACTCATTTAGTGGGTAAGAGACGAATGATTAATCCGGGGTTCTCAGATAGGAATAGGATGTTAGTGTTGAGTTATGTGGGCCGGGTGGAGCCCATGGTGCGGACCAGGTTGGGTAGAGGTATGACAACCCGTCCTCCAACCTGTCCTCAGACAAAGTCCATTCCATCCACTGATCGACTCAAAAGACGCATTCGCCAATTTTAACATGCTCTTCATTCAAAATAGGAATTTTCTCAAATATAAATTAATATGGTTATCTAGTAACCTACTGTACATATTTAGGCATTGGTTAGGTTAGATTAAGTTCTGTTGGCGATTATTTGTATATGTAGTACGTGGGTGAAGCATTTACAGCGTTGTGGTTCGAACAAAAGTCGTCAACGAAGCACTTGTTTCGGAAGTGTTGTGAGTCTTGAACTCCACAACATTGTCTCTTGGATCATCGACTTCCTATTGCGCCACCTGCTTCTTAGTTTCGTCTAATTTCGTTATAAAATTATACTATTTCAGAGTAAAAAAAAGTTTTTCATGTTCTACATTCAGCACCAACATTATAGTGAGTAAATATGTCATGATGACCAGACCACACACCAGAGGATGAAGAGACGACCACGTTTCGGTCCGTCCTGGACCATTATCAAGTCGATTGTGATAAAGGTACACAACACACAATCGATTTGCTAATGGTCCAGGACTCGCTAATGGTCCAGGACGTGCTAATGGTCCAGGACTTACTAATGGTCCAGGACTTGCTAATGGTCCAGGACTTGCTAATGGTCTAGGACGTGCTAATGGTCCAGGACTTGCTAATGGTCCAGGACTTGCTAATGGTCCAGGACTTACTAATGGTCCAGGACAGACAGAAACGTGGTCGTCTCCTCATATTCTGGTGTGTGGTCTGGCCATCATACCTTCAGCCACGTCACTGTGACTCGTCGTCCGCATGTAAATATGTCATATTTCCATCTACGTAATGCTAGGAGGCTTTAGGGAGCTTTAGGTTGGTTTGGGTAATTAGTAGGACTGGGTGGCGGCGAGGTGGCTAGTGGGTTGAATAGCCAGGGGGGGCGACCATTTGGGTAGAAATGGGTTAACGAGGAGGATGGTGTGATGTCCCGGCACGCTCCGTCACACGAGAGAGAGAGAGAGAGAGAGAGAGAGAGAGAGAGAGAGAGAGAGAGAGAGAGAGAGAGAGAGAGAGAGAGAGAGAGAGAGAGAGAGAGAGAGAGAGTGAGTTGTCACAGGTAACACAAAGCGCTCAGCCTTCAACAGCGTCATACTGACAATGCCATTCTCAATAACATCGCCCCATCAGCAATTATTCACTCCTAGGCCGACTCGCGTCTAGAACTTGTGTTTGCTCAACACGATATATGTTTAACATCATTCATGGGACGAGCTGAAGGCTCTGCCACACAGTTGGTCCTTGGCTCATCCTGGACCTCTATATAATCATACTGGCTTAGCGCTCTCTCCTCATAATTACCTGCCTTATATCATCCTGGCCCTAATATGATAGTTAACATTAAAGTTTGTTTATTCTTTATAGATTCAAATAATATCCCCGTGCCCGTGGCGCAGTGGTAAGATACTCGTCCCCGCGCTTCGCGAAAGATGATGGCCTGGGTTCGTATCCTGGCCAGTGAGGAACGACTGGGCGCCAGTCCTTAACTGTACGCCTCTGTTCACCCCAGCAGTGAACGGTTACCTGGTTGTTAAACAATTTGATGGGTCGTATTCCAGGTAAAATTAAGATTAAGGACCTGCCTGAAACTCTATGCGTGCTAGTGGCTTCACAAGAATGTAAAGTCACTAGTTTTATACTCTCACTATATATATATATATATATATATATATATATATATATATATATATATATATATATATATATATATATATATATATATATATATATATATATATATATATATGCGGAAAATCCACAGAGAAATATGAAATGAGGTGAACGTTTCGGCTTTGTTAAAGCCTTTGTCAACACCAGACTGACTCAATATATATATATATATATATATATATATATATATATATATATATATATATATATATTATATATATATATATATATATATATATGTTATCTTGTTATGTAGGATAACAGATCTTGCTTACAACTTCACTGGGGTCATTACTGGCGTTTCTAATGAGTCCTTGCCTTGCAGACGACGAGTCACAATAACGTGGCTGAAGACATGATGACCAGACCACACATCAGAAGACAGAGAAGCAACGACGTTTCGGTCCGTCCTGGACCACAAGACTTGATTATGGTCCAGGACGGACCGAAACGTCGTCGTTTCTTCATCCACACAAAAGGTGTGTGGTCTAGGTCATCGCCTTAGTTAAAAAAAAGAAGAGAACACTGAACCTTCATACTTGACTGTGAGGTAGATAAGTCGAATTTACATACTTGACTGCAAAGTAGATAAGTAGAACCTACATAAATGACTGTGAGGTAGATAAGTGGGACCTACATACTTGACTGAGGTAGATAAGTAGAGCCTACATACTTGACTGCGAGGTAGATAAGTGGAACCTTCATACTTGACAGTGAGGTAGATAGGTGGAGCCTACATTCTTGATTGCAAGGTGATAAGTAGAACCTACATACTTGCCAGTGAGGTAGATAAGTAAACCTACATACTTGCCAGTGAGGTAAATAAGTGGAACCTACATTCTTGATTACGAGGCAGATAAATAGAACCTAAACACACATACTTGCCAGTGAGGTAGATAAGTGGAACCTTCACACACTTGAGTGTGAGATAGAGAAGTGTGCTTGTCCTGGACTGACCTTGTGGTGTGAGGAGCAGCAGAGTGACGAGGGTGCCGGCCAGAGATGTCTCCATCGTCAGAGGTTTCTTACGCTTCCTCTTGAGGAGGTGGACACGAGGGGGGACGAAGGCGCCTCACCACTCACAGTCACCACTTTATTTTCAATGTATAACGGAGTTATTTCTATGTCTTTCCGTCTTAAGAAATCTTATCTGTGAATTAGGAAGGTTATCCAGCCTGAGATGGTCCAGTGTGGCAGGTGTCATATGTTTTCTTCAGACCTGTTGGTTCACTTCAATGGTATAAGGATATATCATTAATAAAAGCTATTCATCTTAGGAACATCTTAACATTATTAACACTGATCATCTTTGATCACAGATACGCAAGTTTTCTTTCAAATGATATGTTAATGGAGGTTTACTATAGTCTACTTTCCACATATCTTCACGCTATAATATTTACATTTTTGTGTATTAAACTATCAACCATGTTTTTTTCCGATTATACAGATAGAATTATACATTTCACTCTGCGTTTTTTAATGTACTATGTGTACGTGCACTCATCTAAATGTGCTTTCAGGGTCGGGTCCTAGCTACTGAGCCCCCACCTCATACAGCGGTCGATGGACTACCACAGTGACTTCCGACTGTACTCATTTTCGTCATTTGAACTTTTGAAATGATTTAATGTACTTGCTTATACTTGATTTCCTTCTAGTCTATTACATTTGTTAACAACCACCTATATACTAGAGGTGGTTCAATTACAGTGTCTTGCGCTAGGCTACGGTCAGGGTTCGTGTGAGAATTAGCGTGTTTCGTTATGAGTAGGCTCAGTGTCTTGCGCTAGGCTACGGTCAGGGTTCGTGTGAGAATTAGCGTGTTTCGTTATGAGTAGGCTCTTCTCAAATGTAAACACGCCACTCTGGCGCGGGATACCTGTTTACTCATTATGTTAATGCATTGTGAACCAAAATTTGGTTGTGTGGCTGTTGGAGTGGTGAGCAGTCATCATGTGTGTTGGTAGGCCAATGTAAAGGTATTTATGATTAACAAGTAAAATGTTAAAATAATAGTAATTACAGCAACTATTTAGTCGAACGTACAAAAATGAACTGTTACAGCTAACAATGTTCACGTTTTGTATTATCAATTATGTAAAAGGTACGAAAAAAGGTAAAAACCGAACTTAAACATCCTAGGCCTAGTATAGCACATATATAATTCATATTACATGTATATATATCAACACACATATATTACAAACATGTAATATACTATAGGCTTAAGTTGCGATCATATTAGGCCTCGGCATGCTTGGACAGGTAAGGTTAGTTCTTCAGTTACTTTTTTAATTTCCTTAGAATGCCATTTGGACTAATTCAATAATACAAAGAGTAAACTTTCTGGGCCCAAGAATGCATAGTTGCTACAAGTACCATCATTACAGGACGTGCTGGAGGAGTTGGGAGTGTAACCGCCCTGTTTCCATCCCGCCAAACACACACACCGAAACTACGACTTTAGTACAACGTTCGAACAAGTTTTAACACCTCCTAACCCTGGAAACACAAACCGAAACTGTCTCTATTTTCCGCTTATTACAACTTGTAATAAAGTTGTTACATCTTGGCTTAACGTGTTTATGACGTATTAGAACGATGTTACAACTTGTTATATTGGTTGTTATAACTGGATAGAAGGTGTTAAAACTTGTTCGAATGTTGTGCCAACGTCGTAGTTTCGGTGTGTGTTTGGCGGGAACCATTTATAACAACCAATATAGCAAGTTGTAACAACGTTCTAATACGTCATAAACACGTTAAGCCAAGATGTAACAACTTTATTACAAGTTGTAACAAGCGGAAAATAGAGACAGTTACGGTTTGTGTTTCCAGGGATGTCCTAGGAACACCTCTCTCATCTATATATTTGATAATATAATCTTGCCAGGAATAATATGTTTTGTTTATTATGTTAACATGCTTAATGCTCAATGGAGATACGGCAGTGAACATTAAGAGTAGGAAGTGAATGTATCTTGACGGAATGTAAGTGGCAACCTTTTTTTTATATAATTTTTTTTTGTTAAGAAAATAACACATAAATACAACAATAAAAGCACAGGCACCTGAGCACCCGATCAATACAAAACAAATCAGCACTATACCAAAGCAAAACAAGAATCACACACATCTATATCACATGAACACAGTAATAAAAATAGCACCACAAAACTGAAAGGAATACAGGAAGGCACATTACGTGACACATCTATAACACATAAAGCAGTTTCACCGGGGCTGGTGCACAGGCAGCCGTAGCACGGGAAAACTGCAGCACGGCTGCACAGGGGGCTGGGGAACAGCGGCCGTTGCATGGGGAGGGGGGGGGCATCAGCACGGAGGGGGGGGGCATAAGCACGGAGGGGGGGGGCATAAGCACGGAGGGGGGGGGGCATAAGCACGGAGGGGGGGGGCATAAGCACGGAGGGGGGGGGGGCATAAGCACGGAGGGGGGGGCATCAGGGGGGGGGGGGCATAAGCACGGAGGGGGGGGGCATCAGCACGGAGGGGGGGGGGCATCAGCACGGAGGGGGGGGGCATCAGCACAGAGGAGGGGGGGCTGGTGCACCGAGGACTGGGTCGTGTGGGCCAACTGTACAGTCCTTTAAAACTAAAACTTACTCCCGTCCCGCACCCTCCACCACAACCCGGGTAACCAGTAACCGAGGAGCAGAAGTAGGCAACCCGGCATCTACACCACGCACCGTCTCCACCACAGGGAACAACCTTCACTGGAACGCCTCCCTGGGGACAGCCGCCAACACACCCGCCACATCACCAACAGGCGCCGCACAAGCCCCAGCCACACCACCAGCATCATCCTCAGAAGACAAGTGCTCCTCGTGCGTCCAAGAGGCACGACCAGGGGGGAGACGAACTGAGAGCTCGCCTCGTCACTTTGGAACTGTACACAAATCATCGGAACTGTCGCCCTCCTCCCATAGGTGCCCCAGCAGAACCACGGGGAGGCTGCGCATGGTCACGCAACACAGTCACTTAACACCGCCGCCGCTTCGACCACCGGAGGCACCGGACCACACACTAATACAAGCTGCACCGCGTGAACCTTCACAGGGACATGCACCGCACACAACCCCCCCAGCACCATGAATCGCTCCGCCATAATCCATCTCGGAAGACAGCCTCTGGGACCACAGGCGCAGCAGCCGGGGGAGGGACTTCATGCATCACTTCTTTAATACCTCTACTGCCATCCAGGGGGCAGCAGACACCAGCCCAGCATCCAACACACTCCCAACATCATCCAAAAGCGCAGGTACACAATCCACGGCAGTACACGCAGAGACCTCCGGGACCTCCAGAGAGGAAAACACTTACTCCCGGAAATGGTTCACATGGCCCACACGGGCAGCACAGTAGCCCACAGCCAGCTGCCTCGACAGACCGCACTGGAAGCACGTACGGGACTGGCCAGCGAGAAGATCCTGATGTAAAGGCTCAGGAGCATAATCGAGGACGGGATCTGAGTCTTAAGGCGAATGGTGAAAGTCCAGGTCCCATTCGGGATGCCCCGCAACCCGCCAGAAGAGATGATGACCGGACGTGCAACACACATCCAAACCAGCTGAAGTATCGCCGCAACAGGTTTTCTGGAAACTCGAACGACACTCTGTGAACGACCACATACGTGGACGAGCCGCTCCGGTCAGAAAGGGTCACGGACCCTTTCTGACCGGAGCGGTGCAGACTTGAGCACCGCTCGGTGACCAGAGATAATCTGCACACCACTGGGTAATCCGCTTTTCCAATAAACTCTATGCCAATCGTCGAAGCACGATGAACAGGAGGCAAGGGCAGCCCTATCCTACCGGCCGGCACGGCCGCAAGGTCTCGCAACAGTCGCCACCAACGACCTGGTACAACCACGGGCAAGCATAGACTGGAGCTCACAGCTGCGACGACTACTCCCACTGACAGCCGGGCGCAGAATCATGTAAATAAACTCTCGTAACGGTTTCCACCCTTCCTCGCCAATTGCTCATATAGCTATGAGAACCAGGAATGTAGAATCCAGATTCTATGTTTTTTGAGAATTAGCGTTATATTTTGGGAAGTCACGATGTCCTAAGTAGGACTCATTCCTGTGTTTACGTCAGGGAACTTCGTAGAATGACTCTCGTAACCCCGTAACTTTCTAGCATAGTCATTCTTAATTGTAATTTTGCAGCCACGAGGATTGGTTATGTTCCCATTCTGGCTGTGTGTGTTCCTTACTGTTCCTCGAAATTTGCCTGTTACCCTTATTGTTGTTAGCTAATCATAGCCAATATCATTGTTTTATTAATAGCGTGCATCCTGTGCAATTAGGTTATTGCAGATGGTTTTGAAGCTTAGAAATAAGAAAGCACCTAACAAAAGAAGGCACCAGGCCAGGAAGACAATTTAACAGTAAAGTTTACGAGGTCAACCCGTTCTCGCAAATTCGTAAAGTCAATATTGACTTATTAACTACGTGCATAGGTGATATACTAAACATAATAGATACCCTTAAAAAGATTCATAGAAAACACCGACCTTACCTAACCTTGTTAGTATCTTAAGATAAGCATCTTATTGCTTCGTAATTACAATTATTACTTAACCTATACCTATTATAGGTTAGGTAATAATTGTAATTACGAAGCTATAAGATGCTTATCTTAAGATACTAACAAGGTTAGGTAAGGTCGGTGTTTTCTATGAATCTTTTTAAGGGTATCTATTATGTTAAGTATGTCACCTATGCACATATTTAATAAGTCAATATTGACTTATTAAATTTGCGAGAACGGGTTGCAGTTGACGTGTGTAGTTCTATCGGCCAATAGACAAGAACGTACCGTTATTTTCACCGTCAAGTTACCCTCTGCGTCTCATTTAATATACAAGCTCTTGGCTGGAATCACGACCGCATATACATTGTACTTGAAGGTGATGGAGTGGGTAACATAAAGAATTGTAGATGCATCGGAGCAAAACACTGGTGTCAGTAAGTCGTGGTGATAAAGTGGTGATCAAGGTAAGTGCCTGTGAGTGACA